TCCTCTACATTAAGTGAATGAATACACATAAAATTTGAGTCATCTCGGTAGAAATCTTCCTTCTATCTCTCTTTTATTCCTAAAAGATAGGATCACAGCTTCAAAAATAAAAAAATATATATTATGAGCAATAATGCAACATGCTCGAAACCAAAAGACACTTCAGAGATTATTAGATTTAACTAAAGACAAAAAAAAAGTATTAGATTTAACATGATTTATGCTTTTAAAATTTTTATTATATTAAACATATCTATTATATCTATATAGTTTCGGACAATTTTATATATCCAAGTAAACATTTGATTTTCATAAAAACATATCCATAAACAAAACAATTGATGATATCTTATTCATAAAATGAGTAAAGTTTTTAATTGGAGATTTATTTATTTTTTAAAAATTGGAGTTTTAAGTAGTATGTTTTTGACATCTCGGCTTTTAGTCCAAAGTTTTCCTGATCCAGTAGGCCCACAGGCCAGCCCAGAGAACAGTAGCACCGCGGCTCAACTGCAAAACTTCACGGTTTACAGTTAAATTTTAAACCCTTTCCCGTTCTGCTTCAAGCGGAATCCAAAAATAACGTTTGACTTGAAATACAGTAAGTCAGATCCAAATCCGGGGGCCTTTCTGTAAATTAACTTAAAATCTCATTTCCTTCAGCTCCCACGAGAAAAAAAGACCACCTTATTGATCATCAATTCATTACAGCAAAAAAATCACTCAAACTGTACAAAGTCCAAGGTTAGTCCTCTCCGAAATATCTCCTCCAAATTTAACTTTTCTTTAATCCTAATTTATTTGCTTACACTTCTCCTTTTGCTTCAGATCTTTACTCATCGCCTTTCTGTAGATCTAATTGTAGCTGTACTTTTTTTTTTGGTTAGAATATGTATATGTATATGAATTTTATTTTTATTACTATCAATTTTTAAATCTATAAGCCCTAGGTTGTCAGCACTTTTCTGCAGTTATTCTTTGCGCGATATAAGTTGTGAAACGTGATGCAAAATTTGCATTTCATCTAACTTTCTGTTTTTTTTTTTTTTTCCTGCGATTGTGATTTATATGAAATTATTTTTTTTTTAGGTAATTTCATGTACATTGATGTAAAAGAGACATGAAATGTAAGTTTAACTGTTTCTTTGTTTGGTTTTGTTTCTGGACGGGAATGGAATTCTTAGTTGAATGCAACTGAGCTAAGCAGTTGGATTAGGCCTAGTGGACTTGGGCCTTTGTGTAGTTAAAAAATTACTGGAATTATAATTTACTTTTTTATTGTTACATTTTTCGGATAGGTATTTAGTTAAATTTTTGTTTTGGATTTTAGTTTGTTGTTGGCTGAATATTTTCCTTCATGTCTCTGTTTGGCTGTTAAGATTCTATATGCAAAACAGAGGAAAGCATGTTTCCAAAATGGATTAAATAGAGGATGGGATTCTAGGATTACGCACACTAGAGAAACGGGTAACTAATTTTTCGATTTTCTAGCTCAACTTTGTTCAATATCTTCTATATATATATATATATTTTTTTTTTTTTAAATTAAAAGTCCCCATTAGAGAATTTTGATTTTGAAAGTATAATTCTGCAATGAAACTGAAAATTTTTTATTTTATCTTTCATTTGCCAGTTTTTAGGAAAACATGATATATTATATCTAGGAGCTAGGGCTGCTCCACTTTTCCTTGATCTAGCTACTGATGTTTCTCCTGTTCTGCTATTTGTTGCCAGTTTTTAGGAAAACATGATATATTATATCTAGGAGCTAGGGCTGCTCCACTTTTCCTTGATCTAGCTAGCGATGTTCTCCTGTTCTGCTACATGTTTTAATAATTCTTGCTTGGCATTGTTTTGCAGGTTGCATGGATTTCTCTGCTTACAGTGTTCAATAGAGAGATAGTTCAACTTTGGTTTTGATCTCATATTATGTTGTATTTGATTTACGTGCATAAAGAGCGTACTTCAGATAATTGACTGAAAAGAGTTGCATGCTTAGTTATGGAATCTTTGTGGAAGCTTTTATATTTACTTGAGCCTGCCCCTGTTACTCTCATATTTACAGCTGTAGCTGTGACATTTGGGTCTGCGTTTCGTGCTCTGAATTATGGGAAAGAAATGGAGCGGAACCGTGACTTGTCAGAAGCGTCAATTACTTTAGATAGTTCCCAAGCACTAATGATCCCAATAATGAGCTCCTGCAGCTTGCTTTTGATGTTTTACCTTTTTTCTTCTGTCTCCCAACTCCTGACTGCATTCACAGCTATCGCCTCTGTGTCATCCCTTTTCTTCTGTCTATCCCCTCACGTTGCCTATTTGAAATCACGATTTGCTTTGGCTGACCCATTTGTGTCTCGGTGCTGTTCAAAGTCGTTTACCAGAATACAAGGGTTATTGTTGTTGGCATGCACCCTTACAGTTGCCGCTTGGCTTGTTTCAGGGCATTGGATTTTGAACAATTTGTTAGGGATCTCCATCTGTATTGCATTTGTCAGTCATGTCCGCCTTCCAAACATCAAAATATGTGCGATGCTTCTTGTATGTTTGTTTGTGTATGACATATTCTGGGTTTTCTTCTCTGAAAGATTTTTTGGGGCTAATGTCATGGTATCAGTGGCAACACAACAAGCATCAAACCCCGTTCACACGGTTGCTAATAGTTTGAGTCTTCCTGGCTTACAATTGATAACAAAAAGGCTAGAGTTGCCTGTAAAGATTGTTTTTCCAAGGAATTTGTTGGGTGGTGCATCCCCTGGTGGGAATACAGCAGACTTCATGATGCTTGGTCTTGGTGACATGGTATGAAAGCCCTTCTCTTCGGTATGAATAAAGTAGTTTTTGTCAACTTTTGAAGGTATCTTATTTGATGAAATTAGCTGTCATCATTGCATCTCATATTATCCTGAGCTCAGTTTTTCATGAACGAACATGTGGAATAATTCAGGTCTGTGTCTGCTATGCTGCTTCAGCAGTAATTACTTGGGCAACTTTACTAGGTGCAATGCTACCTTTTTTTGTCTCATTTGAAAGATTTCCTATATTGAGAATTTTCTGTTTAAAGTTGAATGTATTAAGTTCATTCTTCTCTTTTTATCTGCCCAGGCTATGTATCATGCAGTGCTCTTGAACATCTGCATGTTGTGTCATGCTCTGTTACTTGACCAATATTTATTAGTTATCAAGGTGCAGGTCCTTAAATCTTCATTTCAGTGTCAAGCTTGAAAAGTTTATTGTTATTGCCCCTGTTCCTGGAATGAATGCTATTAGATGAATAAGCATGTCCAAACAATTCTGGTGTGCAGATGACACTTGCACAAGGAATATCAATGTTCTGTACTTGTGGACCAACCATATGTTATTTTCAATTCATGCATTTGTAAAGACAAGCACCCGCACTTATGGATGTGACTTGTTGAGAACAACATTGTAACATTTTTTACCAGTTCTACGTTACTTTGCTGGCTAATATCATCCTTTTTTTTATCATTAGAGTTTCTGATTAAATTTTTTATGCTCATGTAGGCTATTCCTGCCATGCTTCTAGCATTAGTCCTCTGTTTTGATCATCGAAAGAGTAGGGAAACAGTAAATCTTTTAGATTTACATTCTTCAAAGGGGCATAAATATATATGTTATGCCCTTCCTGGGTATGCTACTGGACTGGTGACTGCTCTTGCAGCTGGCATTTTGACTCACTCACCTCAACCTGCTCTTCTTTATCTGGTATTTTGTTATCAGTCTTATTGAAGTTTATAGGTGCTCTTTATATTTAGCATTAGTTTTTGCAAATATGATGTAATCATTCTGATAATTTCTATCCTCCTTGTTTACGTGATCAAAATTTTATGAGATTTGCTTTCAACTGTTAACGAATTTATAGTTTTTTTGGGTTCATTGGATGCCTTATATCCACAATCTTTTCCACAATAATCTTTTTAATATATATCCCCAATCTTTTACACGTAGGTACCTTCAACGCTGGGACCTGTGATTTTCATCTCCTGGTTAAGGAAGGATCTAGCTGAATTATGGGAAGGAACCATGCCAAATCTCAATGATAAGGCTAGACAAATAGAAGTCTGAGTCATTTCTTTATGTGGTATGGCACCAGGCGACATCAAGGCACTAGGAGCCTTTTGGTTGTATATTCCTTTGGATATTCTGTCATTGAAAAGTAGAGTAATACATCAACAATACAATATTTTACTAGGTGAAATCTAACTTTGCGAATGATATATTTCCCTAATGGAAGGCAGAAAGCAAGCTAGGTGAGCCAAGTATCTCAACTGGAAGCAGATCACAAGACTAAAGATTTGCTCTAAAATGCCTTCTGGTCTTCCATTTTTGCTTGAAAAAGCATAGTAGTGTTATTTATGTATTATTTGGCTGGAGTACCATTAATCAACCAACAGACTCAAGATACAGAAGCAAGGGCCCAATGTTCTTTTGGGGGGTTGGGGGGGGGGGGGGGAGAGGATTGCTGATTATTTGGTTCAGAATTCAATTTCCTAGATGTTTACCAATTGCTTAGGCCAAAATAAATAGAAAAACGCTCGTAAAATTTAAACAAGGAAATGGCTGATGCATCAGTTGAAAAAATGGAATGAAAGTAAGGTTGTCTATGATTGATGCTACTCCTTTACCAAGGTCAACAAGCTGTTTAAAAGGAGATGCTGTACAAAACTTTCATCCTCTACATATAAATTGATTGAACTGTTTAAAGATTCAACTCAAATACATTGTAATACAGAGAACTACCAATCAATGAAATGCAATTTCTGACAATCGCTCTCTTGAAGTTCTTCCTGCTACTGTTTCCTAGCTGGAGGTTTATTACTTAAATCCAAAACTTCCTGCATTTGATTCTTTTATCTCTGGTTCAAAATTTACCATGCATCACAACTTGATTTTTTTTTTTTTATGATGTAGCTATTTCATGTGATCACTATATTAACTGAATGATAAAAATATATATATATATATATTATATTTTGCAGTGGACAAATTAGTCACGAATTTTACCCAAAAGAAAAAAAAATACAGAGGGACACTCAAAGTGAAGCATTATCGCTTCATAATCATACATAGAAGATGGAGAACAACGACAAATAAAAGTCCTCACTCTTTCCTTTGTGTCTTCTTCTATACCAAAATAACAGACGAACAAAACCAACCAATAAACCTAGAACAAATTGCATCGCCCTTCAGCTTCAATCTTCTTCCCCCTCCTTTCCTTGTTTCAATTTAATTCAGCATTTTCATTCAACGCGGAGTTTTTTGTTTTCTTCTTTTTTCTTGTGATGGCTTCTACGACTGCCACGTGGTCGCCGAGCTCTCCCCAGCTTCGCTTGGCTTTGCGTTGCAGGAATTGCAGGGAATCACGCGCGGTTCTCGTGCGGGCACGGACAAGGAAGTTCGATGGTCGTCGTGTTCGCCTGCTCTCTGTTGCGCGAAGCAGGAGTAAGGGACTGGCACGATGTCGTGATGGTGTTTCGCGGATTGTGGCGGACTCCACCGCTGGGGCGGATGATTTTTCCGGATGGTTCGATTCGGAGAAAGTTGAAGATTCCATTGACTCGAAAAGGAATGGATGGTTTGGAGGTATTAATTTATTATACTTTGCCCAAACAGATGTTGTTACTACTTGGTTGAATTTTGTGCGTCTATTTTGTTTTTAAGGGTTGAGTACAAGAGAAAAAGAAAATTTATCTTATATTTTTATTGGTTCAGAGGCAAAATGGATGAAAATTATGTAATATAATGTGAAACTCGGTTCACAATATCAAAATTATGGTGTATTGCGCTCTTTTTTTTTTTTTTTTGGTTTTCTTTGTTTGTTTATGACCAGACGGAATTATGTTTTTCTTACTCTAAATGATTATTTAGTATCTGTCAAAGGTGTTCCATAGAGTTGAAGCTGATATGTATCAGATGATATTTATAGTGATAGAATTTGACACTTGTATAATCTCTTCTTCTATTTTCAGGGTTGTGAAAGAAAGTTTGGGCAAAGAGTGGGGGTGGAGTGGGGTGTTCTAATCATGCTTGAATAGGTTTAAATTAAAATAATTGGTTTCCATATTATGGACTAATAACAATTCATAAGTAGTTTGCTTTCAGGAATTATGGGAGCCGTATCAGCTGGACTTGTTCTGGTAGCAGGGATTTCCTTTGCAGCAATGTCCCTAAGTAATCAAAGTGCTTTTAGTAAGTGGTCTCTTTCAATTGCACTTGGTTCCGTTTTGTCATGGTCTTCTATCTGTTTTATGCTGTTACTTTTTTATTTCTATGTTTATTAGATTTAATTTAGATGAAATTGATAATATCTCACGAGCTCTGGTGGTGAATTATTTTACCATCTGTTGACAGCAGGGCCAAAACAGCAGTTGGATCCCTTAACAGCTCAACAGGGAGTTTCATTGGCCTCTGATAATGAGATTGATAAAGTTGATGAGATTGAAAGTGAGACAGGTATATATAAGGGTCTTTCATCACCTTCAGAATTTAATGGCACTTCTACTGATAGTTTACTTGATAATGATAATGGGACCTACTTAGTAGATAGTTACATATCGAATGCCAATAGTGCCACTAAAACTGTTCCAATTCAACAATACTTGCAAAATATTTCAGCTTTGGATGGAATGTTAGTTGACCCGGACATAACTCCAATATCACCTAAATTGCCTGAGTTTGAAGTTGTAGGTGGCTTTTTTGTTGCATCAAGCCTTAGAGAATCGGATAGCAACCTTGATATTGATTTACCTGAATCAACTTCAGAAATTGAATACAAATTGATTAATGTCAGAGAAACTACTGATACTAACTTGTCTGACCCAATAAACCTAGAAAATGATCTCAATGATGGAAAGCTTGGATCAGAAGGAAAAGAGAATTCCAATATCTCAGTAGATTCTTCTTCTAGTTCCAGTTCAGCCAATGAGCCTGTGACTGCAGGCTTCTCAGTTAATTCAGAGTTAGAACCAATTGTAGAACCTCGGTCTGTACCCAAAGACAATCTGGAAACCATAGAATCATCTCCATCTGAAGAAATCCTTGAGAGTAGAAAAATGTTGCAGTTCTCAGTTGAAATAACGAACTCATCTCTGGAAGTGAACAACTTAAATGTGAATGAGTCATCTGAAACACCCTTTGTGTCAGCACCAGTTCATCCATTAACAAATGAACAAAGCAAAATTGATTCTAAAGAGATAAATGGTAGTAAACCAGTTTTTGAATCTCCAATTCCTTGGAATTCCTTCTCCCCTGCTGGGATACCTGCTCCATCTGTAGTTTCTGCAGCTCTACAGGTGCATCCAGGGAAAGTTCTGGTCCCTGTAGTTGTTGATCAGGTTCAGGGGCAGGCATTTGCAGCCCTTCAAGTTTTGAAGGTATTTCATTTTCACTGATATGGTGGAACAATTACAGCATAAGCCCCTGCAGATTATATGAGGACTTTCCTATTGCTCAAATATCTGAATCTTATCCAGGTTATTGAGGCTGATGCTCAACCTAGTGATTTATGTACACGTCGTGAGTATGTTCGGTGGTTAGTGTCTGCAAACAGTGTTCTTTCGAGGTATAGGAGCCTTTCTTGTTACTCCTATGTTTGGCAGTATGTGGGCATTGGGAAATAAGCATCTAGTTAGCAATATAAAATAGGAAAGTTTATACTTGATTGCCTTTTTGTTGCTTGCAGGAATACAGTGTCAAAAGTTTATCCTGCAATGTATATTGAGAATATTACTGAACTTGCATTTGATGACATCACACTAGAAGACCCTGATTTTTCATCCATACAAGGTGAGAATAGGATTTCATATTCTTGGCCATAATATTGGTAGAGTAACTTTCTTTTTTGTTCTAATCATTGTTGCCAATGGAGTTGTGTATTTCAGGCTTAGCAGAGGCTGGACTTATCTCAAGCAAGCTTTCAAATCAAGATCTGCTTAATGACGATCTAGGCCCATTTTACTTTTCTCCTGAAAGGTTATTACAATTACAAATTGAACTTGCAATATAAGTTGTCCTATTTAGCTTGGTTATTGTTATCTCCAACACAAATCTTCCCATTATTTTATTGCCCCAAACATCTGCAGGGTTTTCTTTGTTCTACACCTAAAGAATGATTCTCTATTATTTTCCCAAAGTCATGGTTAACCCATTTTCATTTAATTTATCTGTAAAATGTTCATAGCACATGTGTAAAAGCCTGATAAATAACTCTCTGACTTAGCTTGAATAAAACCTAAAACAATGAATGAATATTTCATTGCAATTTTATTTTTACAGTTACTATTGCTTTATTTTAGGATTCAAGGCTGCTTTACTTCCCGCTTTCTGATTGGCTTCTCATTTTCTATCTTCTTTTTTTTTTCTCATTTTTTATGCTCCAGCCCTTTATCACGCCAGCATCTTGTAAGTTGGAAAATGGCCCTAGAGAAAAGACAACTCCCAGAAGCTGACAGCAAGGTTGCCTATGTTTGAGTTTGTTTTTTTGTCCATTTCATCTTCTTTGTTGCATGTAGTTAGTATATTTGGTACTGATTTTACCTTTGTGGTTATGTATAGATCCTCTACCAAATTTCTGGTTTTATAGACATAGATAAGATAAGTCCAGATGCATGGCCTGCACTTGTGGCTGATTTGTCTGCTGGAGAACAAGGAATAATAGCACTAGCTTTTGGTAAGTCATGTTCAATTGTACTTACTTTCTCTAAGTTTCATCTTGACTTTGATGATTGATATGCCTTTGTTATTTTCATTATCTGGACAGGTTGTACAAGACTGTTCCAGCCAAATAAGCCTGTGACAAAAGCTCAAGCTGCTGTCGCTCTTGCAACTGGTGAAGCTTCTGACCTTGTAAGTGAGGAGCTTGCACGTATTGAGGCAGAATCTATGGCAGAAAATGCAGTATCTGCTCATAATGCTTTAGTAGCTCAAGTTGAGAAAGATGTTAATGCTAGTTTTGAGAAAGTGCTTTTGATGGAAAGGGAAAAGATTGATGCTGTGGAAAAAATGGCCGAAGAGGTAAGGCGTGAGATGGAAAGGTTAAGAGCTGAGAGAGAGGAAGAGAATATTGCCTTAATGAAGGATCGTGCTACTATGGATTCAGAAATGGAAGTTCTTTCAAGGTTAAGGCATGAGGTGGAGGAGCAGCTGGAATGCCTGATGAGTAAGAAGGTAGAGATATCATATGAGAAAGAAAGGATTAGCAAACTACTAAAAGAAACAGAAGATGGAAGCCAGGAGATTGTCAGGTTGCAACATGAGCTGGAGGTAGAGAGAAAAGCCTTATCCATGGCCAGGTAAGGAAGTGAACTTTGTTATTAAGTTGTTTCTAAACTCAATATTGCAACAACTTAACAGGGAGGAATAACAAAAGGTTCTCCAAATATATCTATTAGATGCTTTATTTACTGGATAACATATTCAATGATACAGAGTATGAGATAGCTTATGTTCTCTTGTATCTTGTAGCTAAATAATTGTAAGGATGATATTTTGGCCAATGTTCATTTCACAAGAATTTGCATTTATCAGATTTCAAATCAATGTATCTGCTCAATCAATATATGTCACCTTGTTTCAGAATAGAGAAGCAATGCATCAGACATGATGTTCGTGTCTAATGATTTCTATTTTTGTTTAAATTACAATAGTATGTTTCTCCAAAATCTGTATGCAAACTGCAGAAGTTTTACCCGCTGCTAACTGCTAAACCAATATATTATATGAAGCTATCGAGTTGAGAAAGATGACCTGGCTTGATTTTTATTATGAATTTTCTTCTCTATGGGGATCAAATTAATACTTCTGCAATTCTTATCTGCCTTTCTGTAAGAATAAATCATGAATACTTTTAGCTGTTGTTCCATTGGGTTACTGTAATACCCACCTGGAGATTCCACCTTTGTTTTTTTGTTTGTCTGTCATCTCATCTGCCCGTTAGATTTTCTGAGAGATGGAATGTTTAATCTGTGCTTTTCTCATTTGATTTTTAAAATTGATTACTCCTTATTTATGTTACAAATCTTTCTATAATTCAGAGCTTGGGCTGAGGATGAGGCAACAAGAGCAAGTGAACAGGCAAAAGCCCTGGAGGAGGCTAGAGATCGCTGGGAGAGGCAAGGAATCAAAGTGGTTGTTGACAATGACCTCCGTGAAGAGAGTGTTGCAGGAGTTACATGGGTAAATGTAGGGAAGCAAGTTGCAGTCGAAGGATCTATTAGCAGGGGTGAAACTTTGGTGCGGAAGCTCAAGGTATTGGCAAGTGAAGTACAAGGAAAATCTAGAGAGTTCATCAATAAGATTGTCCAAAGGATCCAGTACTTGATATCGGTGTTGAAGGAGTGGGCCTCCAAGGCAGCTGCAAATGCAGAAGAATTGAAAGATGGGATGATGTTGAAGGCAAGGGGATCAGTACAAGAGTTGCAACAAAGCACGGCAGGATTTGGTTCGACCCTTAGAGAAGGTGCAAAACGGGTTGCCGGAGATTGTCGAGAAGCAGTTGAGAAACTCACTCAGAGTTTCAGAACATAGCCCTCCCGCATGATTACGTTTTTCCCTTTCTTGGGCACCAATAAACAAATTTCGCAGTTGAGAAGTATGTAATTTGTCTGACCTCTGGTCAATTCATATTAGGAATCACCGAGCTATCAATTCAATGATGTTAGTCAAAGCAAGTGTACTAACTATAAATTGATGAAATTGCTGCTGCTCTTCTGCTCTCTCTTCTTATCTGCCAGCGGTCCTGTTTTGCATTTCAATGAATTTAACGAAAGTTTTACTTGAAAAATGTCTTAGGAACTGCTTGCCAGTGAGTTTAGCGTGGTTGTCAAAAAACACAAATTTTAAAGACAATACTACTTCCAATTTCTCAATTAATTCAAACAAAACTTGTTTCGAAGCATAGTTTTTAATCTCAAACAGTATAAAAATAAATAAAAACATATACTAAACAAACATCTCTGACAGCCCCTATATGAGACCATCGAGCATGTCACCAGAGAGCAAATCAACAAAATAAGCTTCACTTCTTCTTTTCTCCACCTCCAGGATGGGCCCTGCGAGGAACATTACACCAAGGAAAAGATTTACTACCATTTTCAAAATGCAAATGCCCCCTTCAAAACAGTCTCGGACATAAGATATTACCTCATCTTGCGGAGAACACTAGACATCTCCTCACGCTTCTTCTTTGCCCTTTTGTGAGTTCCCAACTTTCTTTTAGCTACCTTGAGAGCTCGCTTGTCCTTACCAACTTTCAGAAGCTCAGTGATCCTCTTCTCATAAGGTGCAAACCCAGCAACTTCCCTGATCAAGTTCCTCACAAAATGGACTCTTTTGCTAGTTTTCTGAATAAAATAGAGAAATCAGGACTGATTTTCACTAAGAAAACACCAACTATAAAAAAGGATACAATTAACTACAACTCCAGGCTGAAACATGCCCTTCCAAAAGATATATACAAAGATGAACAACAGATCTAACATGGCAATTTAAAAGTAGTTTCCCTTTCTCTTTCAATAAAAGGCAATTACCTAAAACCAACGACTATTATTCTACATTAAACTTAATCAGCATAGGATGTACTTACTCCCTTTCGATTAGAGGGACGTGGAGCCAACTCCTTCTTGGTTACAACGTGGCCCTTGTTCAGTCCCACAAAGAGGCCAGTATTTGGCTGCTTGGTAGCCATGCCTGCTTATGTAACAAAAAATCACATATATAAATTGAATGAACAACACAACATTCTAGTGGCATTTCAATAATCCTTCAAATCCAAATTATGGATCACTCAAATTCAACTCCTGCTTCAAACAGGAGATGAAAAATATATGATTTTAACCTCGGACTCAAACCTTTAATTTATTGTTCTTTACTTCTTAAAAACTCTCAAATTTCACAATATATTAGCATCAACAGTTAATCAAAGACAAAGAACAGGTGTATATGAGCCTCCAAACATCTCAAGAGCAAGATCTATAGTTAATATTACATGACAGTTTTTCTGCAAGTGAAATTAAAAATGGGCTTCGAAACTAAATGCAGAAACTTACAAATGGAGTTTAAAAAAAGATGTATCTGCATACCCAAACCAAAAATATATAGATTAACATAAAAATAAAAAAATAAAAGCTAGTGGCAGATATAGGCTCTGAACAGCCAATATCACATCACATAAAAGAACCCCACCGATCAAAGCAGATCAGTTAATAAACACAACTTAAATCCTCTGCAATCGATGAAACCAGCTAAAGCTACTAAATAGTTGAGCTTAGCCTTTTAGTTTCCTAAGATCTTAAACAATATGACACAAAAGTCTTGGATATTCCGCTTGGCAGTTTGGTTCCCAAGTAAGCAATCAAATAGAGAAAAATATTCTCAAGTGTAAGGAAGTAGCTAAAGGTAGAGACCGAGAGAGAAGTACCTGTTGCGTGGAGATATGAGGCGGAGTAAAACGGGAATAATTAGGGTTTTAGGTTTGTGTTCTTTTTTATAGTTGTACTGGATTGGTTTTCGGGTGAAAATTAGGTTTTGGGTTTGGGATAAGCTCAGCCCAAAGCATTTTTACCAAATGAGCTTTGATATCGGGCTTGGCCCACCCAAGTGTATCACTTTGTTATTAATTGCGAACGCTTATCTTAAACAGATACTTGCCGAGATATGTGTGCTGTGACGGGCCTCTCTCTCTCTCTCTCTCTCTCTCTCTCTCTCTCTAATTTAATTTATACTTGTCAAGCCATGTGTGTGTTGCGAATTACAATGCCCTTGTCTCACAAGATACAAGATATGATTTAAATTTTAAGCTCACACAAATATAAAATTAATTCTTATCTTTATATCACAAATTAAAATTTAAGTTCTAGACTCGTATTATTTTAGATTATAAGAATAAATTCTTCTATATCTTAAATCAATCGAACATAAAAAATGATATTTGGGCACTCAAGATTATAGGGCTTGGCTGCCTAGAATTTACAAAACAAAAGACTCAACAAGTGGTTAAAGAAAGGACAACAAGTGATTGAAGAAAAGGCTAACAAGAATAATAAAAAATTAAAATAAGAGTAAAAATTTTACTCATTTGTTTTGGTGTGTATAATGAAGATAGAGTGAAGATAGAGGACTTTTGATTTATAGCTAAGTCTCCCTTGCAATATATATTCTTAAACTCTAGAGATTACATTGATTTAAATCTTTGATTTTAAAAGATAAGATATAATCCCTAATTCTAGGATATTTGATACTGCAGCACAATCTTTGACTTGTTAAAATTATGTTAAGCACATCTAGAAGCTCCCAAATCTAATCATCTAAGAACTATGTTCAAATGTACCCACACTTGGGTCCAACCCATGCTTACACCTCGATTATTAGTGCTTTCCCCTAGGTCCAACGATGTGCCCGTACATCTTTCACCAATGCTCACCCATAGGCTTGGCTTAATTTTGTCGAACCTGAACATCTTGCCCGACTCTCTGGAATCTTGATTATTACACGCACCACTGTTCTAGGCTAATTCCCAGTGACGTGAATCTCCAATATACCTTAAGGCCTATTCCCTATGGTTATTAAACTATATCCCACTAGAACTAAAATTATCATTCGACTCAAAGAAAACCTTTGGGCTTGGGCCAGTTTACTGACCATGACATTCTCCTCCACTTATTTTAGCAACGTTTTCGTTGCTAAGGGAATGATAAGCCAGCCTTGCACACCAATTTTAACTCCTATCTCGTAAACCAGTTTTTCAACTTTTTGATCCCATATCCGAACAAGTACTCTGCTAGCTTCTGTAGCTTTTGATCATATGTTCCTCAGCACTTTGATATAATGGTTTTTTTTGCCCGGGCTATCGATGCTTTTTATGCTTCATAGAAATTGCTTGCAACACACTCTTTTGTAAGGACTTTGGCTGTACCTTAGGACTCATATTGTGGCACTTGGTTGCCATTGGTTTTCTCTTATCAGCTCTTCGAGAGTTCCCAAAGCCTCGACAATCTTAAATAAAACTTGGTTGCTCATCTTTAGGCTCTTTCTAGTGCTGTTCATGACTGCTACTCTTGTCTTCGGATAGCCTTTTACCCACTTAATGGCTGAAAAGCTTCAAGCACTCCTTAACCCGATGTAGACTGACACCAAAATAACAACTTAAAAGCTTCTTCTTCTTGCCTATGTTGGCAGGTTTGTCAACCTTATAAAATCTGGGTTTCCTTACATCCTTTTTTTCTCTTGAAGAACTAGCACTTGTGTCTCCCCCAGTCTAGCTTTTTCCCATCAGCCTTGGAGACTTAGTTCACTCAACCAGAGTCATCAATTCAGTAACAACTATGATCCGACTTAACTTCGGCACACCTATATATTGCAGCTTGGCCTTTACCTATAACTTTAAACCATCCATAAAATGTTTAAGCACCTCTACTCTGGGTTTCAATCTAGCACCAGTAACCATAACAACTCGCAATGTAACATGGTCAACCTTAAACCTGATTAGCTTTTTTTACATGGTTGTCACCATGGACTCTAACGCCTCATTACGCTATATAAGCCTCTCTATTACCTTATTCGAGGATCTTTCAACCTCTTCAAATCAATCTGTTATATGAAGAATGGCTTTTTCACACTTCGCTAATCAAGTGTCTATCGGTACATATCTTACTAAAGCCTGTTTCCACTTGTTTGTAAGTGGGTGCTCTTCGTGCACCTCATTTGGGCCTTCTATTCTATTTTTCCTAACCATGCCACAACCCTAAATACAAAAACTATTAAACCACAAATGCATGAACCAAAGGATTACCTTAACTTTAGTAGGCAATCAAGCGATCCAATTCTAGTTTCCACAAACTAACACACTAGTCTATTAGCACAACACACCAATACAGCACACACTGTTAGGCACTAGTTTGCATATTGGCTAAACATACCAGCCTCTCGATCAGGCACTAATCTGCACACTTGCACACCTGCACAATACGCCCAACACACCCACAGCAGACAGTAGCAATTTGTCTTGCACCTGTTCTGCACTCTAGCATGTTCACACCTAGCACACCAAGAGCATTTCACTAGCACACGAGCACATTAACCCTTTTAAGATACCCATACCATGCAGCAAATTACCCGTACCGTATACTCAAATGTCTACACACATAGTAGAATGCTTGTATAATTCACTATAATGCCTGTACACCATACTAGGATGCCCGTATACAGGGTACTTAACCTGCACCAAGGCCTACTTTGGCTATTCTTGTCACCACCGGGGTCCTGTTACACATTCTAAACCAAGGCTATCACCACCTTTGATTTGAACAAGTCTCTGACACCTTTTGGTATCAAGTTTTGCCACCTACTCTAAAACCAACCCTGAACTAGGCTTTAATATCATTTATTATAGGTCGAGGCTTAAGTTTCAAGCTCGCGCAACTCTAAGACACAGAAATAAATTTTTTTGTGTCCTAAATTAGCTTAACACAAGAAACGATGATTGGGCACTCAGGACTGCGGGACTTAACTGTCCATAAAATTGTAAAAGAAAAGGCACAATAAATGATTGAAGAAAAGCTAACAAGAATAATAAAGAGATATCACAAAAGTAAAAATTTTACTCAATGATTCTAGTGTGTATAATGAGAGTAAAGATTTCTCTATTTATAATTGGTCCCCTTAATATATTTAAAGTTTAGAAATTATACCGATTTAAATTCTTTAATTTAAAAGATAAGATACAATCCTTAATGTTAGAGAATTTGATACTATAACACAATTTTTAACTTTGCTAAAATTATGCTGAGTACCAGACCTTTTAAAAGCTCCCAAATTTGATTCTCTGGTAATTGTGTTTTAGTGTGCCCACACTTCAATCATCATTGCTCTCGCCTTGGTCCAACTGTATACTTGCACATCACTTGCCAACACCTATTCATAGGCTTGGCTCAATTTTACAGAACTTAAACATCTTGCCTGAACTTTTAAATTCTTGATTATTGTTTACACCATTGTTCTAAGTTAGTGCCCTGCGACATGAACCTCCAGTGTACCTCTAAACCTGGTCCCCTAGACTCTATTCAACTAAAATTAAAACTATCATTGGACTCAAAAAGAATTATGACTAGCATGTAGACCGTGACACCTGGACGGGTCCAGTTCTAGCAAATCTCTTTATATTTTCTCACTTGCCTCGACCAAAGACAAGTCCTGTTTCCCAACATCACGTTCTTCCAAAAAAAAAAAGTTCTTATGACGCTCCCTAAGAGCCCAAGAACGGAACGTAAAAGCATGGTCAACGTGCCCTAGGATTCAGTATTTCCCAGACATAGGAGGTTCATATTTCATGGATTACGCTTCACAGTTCTCATCTTATCTTATTATATCAAGTTTGTTTCAAATTTTGGGAAAAGAAAGGGAAAGAAGTTCACATTCACTGTGCATTGCATCAAGAATCCAACATGTCTAATGTCTACCTTCCTTCCTTCTACTTCTACACCGAAGTCTAACTGGACATTGACTTGTAGTTACCTGGTAAATTTTCGTCCTTGTCTTATTCTAATTCCTTCTGCCTGTCAATTTAAATCTTTATACTGCATATCAGCATTAACCCAATCTCAGAACATCTCCCCATCGACTAAAGTACTTGTTTCTAATAATTTTCTTTTCAAAGAAGATTTCCATATGAGGAAAATCAAATCCACGGTACTAGAATATTGGAATCCCATTTGTTTTAGACTATGAATTCTTCTTTTTTTTTGCTGTAATCTTTTTTTGTTGATCAGACAGAAATCTATTACTTTGGGTCTTTTTTATTTTCTCTGCTGGTTCTTGGTTGCTCTTTCTTGATATTTTAGTCATAAAAATTGTCATCACTCAGCAGCTTATGACATTGAAACCCTACTGGTAGAAGACCCAGATCGGCTATCAATTAATGAATCACCTTGAGTTGCAATTCTTTGTACAACCATTGTTTCCTATCTCTGGTGAGTGCTGTGTTTGACCCTTCACAAGGTGGGGAAGCATATTTCTGACTGTTCCTCATTTTGTGCTGTTCAGCAATTCCAATTTATTGACTTTGCTCCTGTTTTGACTGCTTTGGAATCCATTCTTGATATCTCTTTTGGTATATGTTCAGTTGATAGTGCATCCTAGAAGAACAGTGAAAATCATCCTCTTGAGTCCTATTCATCATTTCCTTCTCTTCGGTTCAAAATCCTATACTTTTAATCATGTTTTTGTACTTGATCTATTGAGTCCTTGGTTTACATATTGTCTGTCAATCAATTTACTGAATTGGAATACTGACACAAATACTTTGTTTATTTTTGAAATATATATAATAAAAACTCAACAAGTTATATTTCCTTCTCTTCAAAGTGCATTGTTCGATTTCTCCAATTTCTTCGGTTACTCACTGCTGCTTGAATAGATGTGAACTTTGGTATCTCATCCAATTCTCAAATCATTAATCAAGTTCCATATTCTAAGTTCCTGTATGGTATTTCCTACATCAATGGACTATTTCCCTTGTTTTTACGCCATTTACATGCATAATCCATGTTTTATGATCTACATTGTCGTACTTAAGGGGTAGGCATCAATGTCAATTATATGTGGCCATCTACTTCTTGAATGTGTTTACTGTCTGGCATGGACACGCTGGGCGTGGAAAAGATGCCTCCATACTGCTGGCCATGACAGTGAAACATTGGGCCTTGCAACTGCTGAAGAATTTGAGCCTGTCCCTTGACTATGCTGCTACATTCTAGCTGTTTATGAAGAAGATCTCTAACACCCCCTTTGGGAACACCCTGGATGCTATGGGATCAATCCAGATTGATTGATTCTCAGCAAAACTTATGAAGGCACTCAAGGACAGGCTCCGTCATATATATTAACTTGATCATGATCATGCTGATATGGTCCTTGCCATTAGAGGTCTTAATTTGGCAAAGGAGAGTGACTACCAAGTGATTTTGGATAATAAAATGGGGAAAAAGAATTTTGATGGTGGCTATGTTCATAATGAATTATTAAGGCTGCTGGATGGGTTTTGGATGCAGAATGTGAAGTTTTGAAGGAATTGGTGGAGAGGTATCCAAATTATACTTTGACATTTGCAGGACATTCTCTTGGGTCAGGTGTAGCATCCAGGTAGGCATTGGTGGTTGTGTGACATCAGGATAAACAGGGAAATATTGACTGGAGGAGGATCAGGTGCTTTGCTATTGCACCTGCAAGGTGCGTGTCACTAAATTTGGCGGCCAGATATGCAGATGTCATCAATTCTGTGGTGCTTCAGGCAAATTAATTTTTTCCATTAATGTTTGGCCTTATTGTTGGTTAGGAATGATACTATCAATTCATCTGATATAAACATCGTGATATTACTGGCATCTGAAGAAGTCCCTCAACTGCATTGTAATTGTTTTATTGCAGTACTTGTAGTATTAAATCATGCTGTGCTATATGTTGTTTAACTAAGAAATATGGGATATGAGCCATGAGTAAGATAAAAAAAATGTTCTAAGAGAGCAAAGGTATGAATTGTTTCTGGAGCCTAGAGATTAGTTCTTTAACAATGAGCTTAATTGAAAACTTTGAAATATTTTTCCACTTATTCATTCACTTGAAAGTTTATGTCCAGTTGTAATTCTTCACAAGCTTGACGAGCGGGGAAGGTTCATGCTTATGCAGGACTTGTTCATGGCAAGGTGCGAATTCTGGCAAAGGAACTTCCAATGGTGGTTATTAAGTATAGTTCTAATTTCAAAGAAGAATGGTTAGTATAAGTGCACCTCAAGATGCGTGATTTCTGTTGAACATGAACTAACTGATGGGAGATAAGAAGCATATGACAGAGAATGAGGAATCAGCATCTGCGGAGTCCCCATAAGGTGTAATAGAAGATTTAAATGCTCGATTTTAAGGTGAAGCTTTTTTAGGAAGTACCTCAAAGATCACATCATCATAGTTAAATCTTATCTGTCAGTAGAATCAGCTGTAACTGCACTCTTCTTGTCCTTGAAGAAGGTTAGGTGCTTGACATTTACCTCGAAGAGCAACTGCACGGGGTTCAAGAGACATTAAAGGCCAAAAAGAAAAGGAAAATTAGAATTTGGAGTAGTCCAATGGATATCTGAACTCTAAAGTACATTTTTAGGTGCGACAATGTCTAATACAATGGCATAGACACCAAAAGGAATTTTGTTATGTTTTATGGTCAGATGTCTGATATGAAATTATGAATACAAGTAGCTGTGCAAAACTTAAAATGCATGTTCTTTGTAAATGGTAGAAGATCTTGTCACATTTACACTGATAGTAGCACTTAATGTTGAAAGCATCTGGTTGAGATTATATTTGTGAATTATAGTAATTGATTTCTGTCAAATAATTGCAACATTTTGTCTTGATTTTTTATTAATTTTAGATATCCAATCTATCAGTTATTATATATTATTATTATTATTATTATTATTATTATTTTGTATTAATTGTGCTTAATGCTGAATTAGGATGACTACTTGCCATGAATAGCCACACCTTTGGAAGACATTTTCAAGTCACTCTTTCTGGAATTGTTGGATTTTATCACCCATTTCAATTATAGTTCTGTTTACAGATGATAGGCTCCTGGAGCTTGAGTTAACATCCTTTCTAAAGCTAGTTGTACGGCCTGGTCCTTTGGTTTCTCCCAATACATAACAGTTAACGGGCACATGAAAAAAAAAAAAAAGAGAGTTTTAGCTGCACCATTCTTGCAAATCAAGTTATCTTCCCTTTTGGTGTTATTTTTTTATCTATTGATAAATTTTGCTTTCTCCTTTTAAATAGTTTGCCATGCCTACTATGCCTGAGATGCATGAGGTATACTTGTATACCAGAGGAGAAGATGCTTAAAGATCCACGGAGGCTGTATGCACCTGGTTGGCTCTATCACATTGTTGATCGAAAGCCTTTCAGGTGTAATCAGGTTTAACAGCCATTGGTCTCTCCTATATATTTTCTTAGTGGTAATGGTTTAATAAATGGAGCCACTGCGAATTGATGAAATAAATGCATATATAGCACTGTACATGGTTTAGAGAATATTTAGGCAAGAGTTTTCCCAGTACACCTTATGTGAGTCTCTCTGCTGGTTGGTTTCCTAAGCAACTTGTTCTCCAAACTAGTTTTTGAAATTAAACCTCCACATCTTTGTCTCTCAATTTTGCTTTAGTTAATGCTGGAGAAAGATCGGATCATGGAGAGCCCGGCAAAACAGAGAATGGAACGACAGGAGACTTTGGCTAGAGAACATAGTGAAGAATATAAAGCTGCTTTCCAAAGGGCTGCTACACTGTCAGTGCCCCGTGCTTATTCACCTTCTTCATATGGAACTTTTGATTAGTTGGAGTCATGGATTCAAATAGCTGCACAATAGTGGTATCGCGGCCGCTATTTAGCGGAATCGGTACCCACCGCCACCCCTATTCAACTGATATTGGATGTGAAGAAAATTCACGTCTTTAATGGTTCATTGTTGGCGCAAAAAAATTCCTTAGCAGCTAATAGCAGCAATAACAGGTCACAATTGATGCTATTTCCGTTTTTTTTAAGAAAAAGGGAGGAATCGACTTGGAAGAGGAGTTTATACTCAGTAGATGGGTAAGAAGGATAAACTTGCTGTTGTGAATCTTGGTGGCAGTGTAATCATTGGTATCCATGCCAATCATCTTTGAGTTCTGGCTAGGCAACTTTCTATTTCACTTCATAAGGTTCGAGATAATAGCCTTTTATATAAACTTGATGGGGCACCTGTCAATAAGGAAACCGATTGCAGGATTGAAATGATCTTTAACAAGTTGCTTGGTAAAGTCATGGAAATGAGAAAAACATGGGTGGAATTGCAAACCATATTTCTCTGGGATCAGTTTTGGAAAAGCTCTGGCAGTTGTAAGCCTTGGCTAAAGTACAGAGGAGAGGCAACTTTTAGAATGACATCTTGCTAATTTGGAATATTCTTTCTTTTTCGATTAATGCTTGATCAAACAAAAATTAGTTTTTTTTTTAATAAATTTAGGGACAAAATTTGGAAAGAAATAATTAGTTAAAATTAAAAAAGTTTGAGAATTAAATTTGATTGAAAAATTTGAGATGAAAGAGTTTAATGTAAATTTGAAAAGTATATTAAATTATAATTTAGATGAAAAAATTAAAATATTAAATGATTAATATATTAATTTGATTTTTGATTTCTATTTTTATTTGGATTTTATTAATGATTTTTATTATTTTAATATTTGTATGTTGTTAATTTTCTAAATGTGAATATTTTACTATAACATTAAAAAATTGTAAATAATTTTTTTGTATAAATAAAATAAGTGTCATTAATTACTTTAAAAATCATGAAAATTTTTTTTATGAGTATAATTATAATTACTATGCTTTATAATAAGTTGTACAAATTTGAAAAAAAATCATGATCGCGATAATCATAATGATCGCGATGATATCCGTTATATCCGTAATCGTGATAAACGTAATGTGATAAAAAATGTATCCATGATCGTAATTTAAATATCTTATTGAAGTAGGGAAAGAATTCATATAAGTCTAGTGGTGTGTTTTCTATTGGATCATTGGAAAAAAGTAAAAACAAAAAAAGCTGAAATGAATTGATAGTCTCTTTTTGAGAAAAGATGAATCTGGGCACATGGTGCTCAAAATATCATATAGGAATGATTGAAGATGTGAATTCAGGGATAACATGGATAGAAGATTAAAAATGGTGCTTGTGAAGAACAACATTCATTGATTCTTTGTACTCGTTTCCCATCCCATAACGTTTTTTACGTCGGAACCCTGAGAGCTAAACACAGGTCAAGTAGAAAATGAGCCTAGATGGGGGAAAATAACCGACTACAATCCGCATAAAATGGATGCTAAGTTACTTAATCTGCCATTGTAGTCCAATTGTTAGACATGGAAATGAAGAGTTGCTTTTTCCCCCATTGAATAGGCCAAACAAAAGGGGGACTAATTAAGTTTAAGTAATGGCAGGAAGAAAAGCTCATGTTGCAATGCATTGGTAAAGGATTAGGGTATGATCAAACTTGAACGCAAAGAGGGCCACGAACTCGCGCATTTTTTCACTCAGTCATAAGCAGTATCATTTCATTGCTTCAACAAACGTTATATTTTTAGATAAAGTCTAAATAATTAATCTAGACGAAGGTTCCATTGATAATGATTTTTTTTTAATGTGTTTTATTATAAACTACAAATAAAAACAAAATGCTATATATAAATATAATACTTGTGTACATTATAGGGTATAAAATTGAAAATTTTGACCAATTATAATTCATAGCTTTGTTAGGAAGAAAAATGTGGAGACATTAAGACAGTCATTTTGTCTTTTCTATTTTCAGACGCTAAACGACGACGTCGCCCTGACTCGTCTAAAGTAGGATAAAACGCGTTGTTTAAGCAATGAAAGCGTACGAGAAAAGCCCTATAAGGGGAGCGCCAGGGCAACCAATTTGAAAACAAAATAAAACCTAACGGCTATATTTTTCATAGTGGCTACTCTCTCTATTGCCAGAAATTTGACTCAAAATTTCTGCTGTTGAATTCTAATTCGAAAAAAAAGAGAAGTTTCAACAAGGAAGAAAATCTTCTGGTATGAGGCCGAACCATGGTCGAAAGGCTCGAGTGATAGCTAAAATCAAAGGGTTCACAGATCAGGAACCGGAGTCCGCCAACGAAGCTTCCGGAAAATGGATTTCGGTTCACAAGCCTAAGGGAGATGACTCCGAGATCGTCACCGTCTCTTTTGGAGACCAATCCGCAAGGTAATAAAGAATAAATTTGTTTTAATTTATCGTTCTTGATTTTAAGGAAGGTAGAAAAGAAAGCTTACTTACCTTTCTTTTCATAAAAATAATTGCAGTCGTAAAGATTCATATGAATTGGATTATTGCTATGATCGAAACGAGGGAAATTCTTTGATTTTTTCAAGAGAAGTAAATCCACTGATTGAAGATGTTTTTAATGGCCATAATGCCACTGTTATTGCTTATGGAGCAAGAGGCAGCGGAAAGACTTTTCTAATTCAGGTCAGTTATTTTTTTTTTCTCTCGGGAATAGTTTATGCATTTTTTTTCTGAGAAAAAAAAGGGTAATGTAATTATTAAGAGAAGAAATTTTAATTTTTTGAAGGGTTCGGAGGAGGAACCAGGTTTAGCAGTTCTAGCCATGACAAAAATCCTTTTTATGGCAGAGGAAAGTGGCAAGTTGATTGCCATATCGTGTTATGAGATTTCGAGAGACCATGCTTATGATCTTTTAGATCCAGAAAGGCATGAAGTTTTGGTATGGGAGGATGTTGCTCGCGGTAAAATTCAACTTAAAGGACTTTCTCAGGCAAGTTATAATCTATATTGTTTCAAAACACAAGCTTCTCTAGTTTGTTTATCTGACCTTTTGTTTCATTGATTGATTAATTTCTTTTCTAGGTTCCTGTGAAGTCCATTCAAGAATTTCAGAAACTCTATCTTTCCGGTCAAAATTCATATAAACAACCTCAAAATATAATGGCTGAACATAGAAGCCACAAAGGCTTAATCATTCATGTATTTCATGGCGACAAGTCTGATGCTCTTCCTCTTGGGAAGATGAACCTTGTTGACTTGGCAGGTTTCAATTTTTAATTATAGTCAATTGTTTTGTTTCTGTATTTTTTCTGTTATGGCTTAAAAATATCCATTTTTACCCCCTTACTGGTTTTGCATTTACCAGGTTATGAAGATGGCAGAAAGAAAAGCACTGATGGTGTTATTCTTCTAGATAATAATAAAATTAATAAGTCCATATATGCCTTACAGAATGTCGTTTATGCTTTAAATGCCAATGAAAGCCATGTGCCATATCGTGAAAGTAAGCTAACTCGAATGTTGCGCGACTCATTGGGAGGGACAAACAAGATTTTGATGGTCACCTGCCTGGTAAGGTTAATGGTTTCAGATTTTTTACAAGAGTTTGTTATTTTTTTTTTTTTTTTTTTTTTCTAAAGTTTGATTTCAATTGACGTTGATTTTTAATTTTTTCGAGTGCAGAATTCATCCTTTTGTCAAGATTCCTTGTACATGGCAAATTTAGCTTCTCGTTCTTGTAAAGGCACCAGCAGGATTATACCCGACTCTACAAAGAAAACCAAAAGCAAGGTAAGACCAATGGTGCTTTCTTCATGCAAAAGCCGTATACCTGGGAGTGTTTCTGCCACTGTGACAAAACAGATTGGAACACGAGTGTGGTTTCCAGAAAACGAAGCCAACGTTAAGGCTTCTGCGATCAAAGGAAGGTATTTATTGACGGCTTCTACTGGCGTAAAGCAATATAACATTTTCATCATTGTTATTGCTGTTTCTATATGGCAAAATGTTCCATAATTTTTTTTTCTTTCAAACTTGAAGGAAACTTTTTGATGAAGCATGTCATTCAACCAAATCCAAGAAGGCATCTCAGGAGGTATCCAATTTTCTATTTTCTCAGGAAATAAAGCATAAAGCATTCTGGCAATTCTTCCAATCTCGTTTACATAGTTTGCATGAATAAATGCAATGTTTTTAGTTTTTGCATAAAGTTAAAGAAAATAACACATTGAGTATCATGTAAAGAATTATGGTTCATCCTATAATAGGACTCAAACATTTTAATGCAGGAAAGCTTGTCATTAGAAATTGACTCAACCATTGAACATACCATGGAGGTAAACTTAACTTTTCTGTATAACTTGTTGTGGTATTGTACTATTCTTTTTTTTTTTCCTTGCACAGGGTGGTATTGAGTTATTCTTTCTGGTGAATAATGAATATTTATCTTAGACTGAAAATTAGTCTCTGAAACTTTTTATAATTGGGAAGTTGCCATCGTTATGTGCAGGAAAAGAACTCCTCAGTTATTTCAGATGCAACAGTACCTCTTGTACAGGTAAACTCTTTTTTTTTTTAATCCTCCCTCTTTTAGTTTTTTAGACTATAGTCAAAAGTGTTACCAAGGTCAAATCTTATTTCTTGCACACCATCACTGATTGCTTCAAAGAATGTATAATCTATATCAGAATGGAAGAAAAAAAGTCGGAAATGATTATACAGTACTACAATAACCTCCGGTGTATTTCAATGGCAATTCTTTTTTTCTTCTTCTCATGTTTAATGGTTTCATTTTTTCCCTTTTCAGGAACCTTCCTCTTTGCAAGCTTTTGGTGCAGAAGAAACTGACTTGCCAATTAAGGCTTTTAGTACAGAAGAAACAAAGATGCTAGATAAGGTGATTAACCTTCTTTTTGTGTATGCTTGAGGAGCTCAATTATTTATTGAAGTTGCTAACTTATTTTTAAGGTTGTTGTGACTAATGCGGATAATCATGATGAAGCTACCCCAAATATCAATAGCAATGCAAAGGCACTTTCTTTTGTTGAAGCAGGTACTCGGCATGTCAAATCGAAAACCCAGATTTATTAGAAAGATATGACATGTAATTAAACATTATTCATGAACTGTTCCATTTCTTTTTTTGAACAGATCAACCATTGGATAGGGAGAACAACTTTTTCCTAGTCAATAAGAATGAATCACCACCAATTAGTGCACGATTGCAAGATTTGTCCAACAGTTTGAAATTGCTTTATTCATCAACTCCGTCATGCATAGAGATACCACCCAAGACTGATGTTTCATTTGATGGTCAAGTCTCTACTGAAATTTTGGAGCCAAAAACTCCTGAACCCAGTTTTCCAGTTAATGATAAATTGGAAATTGCAGATATCAATTGCAGTCCTTGGCAAGCATTCAGTGCACGTAGTTCTAAAATGAAGGTTGATTCTAATCTACCGTACTAAAATCTCCCTATGTGTTTAATTTTAATTACTTGACTGGTTTGTTAATCATCTTTCCCTATTGCAGAACTCTCTCGTTGATGAATACATCAAATTCTTAAATAGAGCTAGCAAGTAAGTACACTTTCAACATTTTTTGGTGCATTTATGGTTCATATCTAATTTAAACTCTGTTCCTTTCACAAGAGAATATAGAAAGATGGAACCTTAATAACCAAGCAGCATAATGGAAAATGTAATTCTAACTGAATAAATAACTATGCGAATGCATGAGTTGTAGAAATGAATAATAGATGTAATGCATGAAGTAATGCTTTTTCCTTTATCATAATCTTGACCTCGCAATCATCATCATGGCTCTAATGATCTTCTGTTTTTCCTCGTTTTCCTACCAACAGAGAAGACTTGAAAAGATTAAAGGTGAGGAGCATGTGACTAACATTCTTAGTATTTTCCTTTTGTCATAAGTCAATAAGTCGTAACAGTTGAAGTAAATAAATGACTTTATTCAGGGAATTGGAGAGAAGAGAGCTACTTACATTCTTGAACTTCGTGAAGAATCACCAGAACCTTTTAAGAATGTAAGCACCATCAATAACATGGAGAGAATTTCCATATTAAACTTAGACTAATAGCTAAAATTGATTTTACAGCTTGATGATTTGAAGGAAATTGGACTTTCAGCAAAGCAGGTATCTGTTTTTGTTATTTCAATATATGTTCTGAGGCGGCTTTATAGATTATTATCTTGAGTTGCAATGCAAAGCATGTTTTATGGTGTTGTTTTGTGCCCAAATTTTGGTTTGCAAGTTGAGTCCTGCAGCACCTTGAATTTATACAATTGGTTTTTTCATTTCATCTTCAGATCAAAGGAATGATGACAAAGGAAATTGGAGGTCTCTTCAATTAGCCTCTTAAAGAGGATGGATACTGAAGAATCTATATCCAATGAGAAAATATGTTAGCTTGCTAGGCAACCTGAAGTTGCCAAATGTCTTATTTGCCTCTTTTTTTTCCTTTTTTTTTTTTTAACTATATGATTTTCAGATATTCTTTTTCTTGATTGCTTTCTGACCTGAAAATGATCTGTTATGCATTTTTTTTTTGGCCAAAATACAGTATTGTTTGGCATTGTAGTTAGATGTTTATTCTGTTACTTTTTCTTGATTTGTATTCAAAATTTTCTAATTTTTGAGTTTAAATTAAAGTCTGTTCATCTTCCACACAGGCTAACAATCCTTCCACAGTTAGATATTAAAAAAATTGTGCTCGTCTTGTGCGCACATACACGGTCTAAAGAACATTTCACTTTCGGATCCCTGGGAGAGACATGAATATCGTTTTAAACAATCATTTAAATAAATAAAATATAATAGGTAAAGAAATATAAAGAGAAAAAAAAAGTAAATAAATGGAATGAAAGTAAGAAGTTTAGAATGAAACACGTAATCTTAATTTTATTTTTTATAATGAATATGTGCTGACTTGTCGGTTTGATTTACTAACAATTTTTTTTATTAAAGACTTACTAAATATTAGTCTAAGTATAGGACTAGTTGAGTTGGTGGCCAACTTAATGATTAACGGATACTGAGTTAGGGGTGAAAGTGTTATTACTAACTTGCCACGGTATTACCTGCTTGATCAGGCAAATCAAGAGTGACGACAACAATTGTGATTTATCTTGTTTTCATTTCCGTTACATATGCCTTCACCGTGTCCGCCCAACCTTCATACCTATTCTACCACCACAACAGATTAAAGAATAGCTTATACTCTCATGTACAGCTCAAGGGATTTCAGTACCATTGCTGAATCATCAAAAGTTTTAAGATAATATTTAAAAAAAACAAATAATGCTATATTATTTATTTTTTGAATTTAGTAAAATTAGTACATTAAAAGTAAATTTTTTATAACAGTTAATGTTATATAAATTTTTATATGTTAAAAATTAAATTACTAATATAGTAATTTTGAAAAAGTTAATCATTTATTTTTTGAATTAGTTGACATCATTAGAGTTGATATTTGAAAGTTATAGATTAAAAAAAATTTAAACATATAATATCATTTTCAACCAAATATGTAATTGAATAAAATAGTTTAAAAGTAAATTAGAGACTTAAAAAAATATTTCCTTAGGGTATCGTTAGAAAAACCCTTTGTAATAAGCAATGAGGTCGTTCATGTTGCATAGGAAATTTAGTTTCAGATTATTTTCGGAGAAGGTAGCAAAGCCCAATAATCAGTGGGCCTTTCTTTGAAGAGGGAAAAAAAGAGTTCGATTTGGGCCTTTGCAGTTGGACTGCTTCATTTCTTAAGTTTACATCCCTGAACATCTCGTTGTGACGAAAATCTCCCACGTCAGAATCATGTACATATTCATTTTTACTTTATATTTATTTTCCATTTTTTTAATAGTTTTCCTGCTGAAGAGGGTTCCGGGAATCCGGTTTCCACCTTGTATAGTTCTCTTACACCCTCTTTACAACCTTTATTTCTTCCGCTACAATTTTCTCGGCCGATCATTTCCTTGCTTTTTCTTGGTGAGTTTTCCTCCCGCCAAACACTTCCCAATCCTCTTCTCGTCGACTCTAAATCCTTGTGATCGCTTAATATTCTGTCACTCCTGAAACCGATCTCTCTCTCTCTCTCTCTCTCTCCTCATTCAAGGGTACGTTAGCCGATCACTTCACTTGTTATTTCTTATATATTATTTTTGTTTTTTTACGTTCAATAACATGCCTGATAGCAGATCACGTGGCTTGAGGGCCTAACCACTTTTTTTTTGTTTAATTTATCTATTATTTTCTTATGGAATTTAGTTGTTACTTGTTACTTTATCTGGAAGCTGTGAAAAAATGGAACTATAAAGTCGGAATTTGAATTTTAGTTCTGTGAAGATTGAAAATATCCAAAACTAAGTTCAATGGTTATATTGTGGCTCAGTAGAAGAAAGTTTTACAAAATACGTTTATTTTTGCTTCAAATGGACGAATGAAGGTTCAAAAAGTTAATTTTTGTATATGTAGACAGAGTTGATAGGACGCTGTTCTTCTGCGATCTTTGATTATCATTGTTATTGGATTTTGATTTGGTTAATCGTTTCTTGTAATTAAAATTTAAAATTTTGCTACCTTCATATGGACTTTAATGTTAATTTGTAGGTTAACTATTTAGTTGTTTTGCTGTGAAATATTTTGCCATAGGACAAGTAGTCAGTTCCATTAATGAATCTTTGTTCTAAATGGCTGGTATTTTAGTTCTAGAAATTTTACTTGCTGGCATTGTTGGCATAAGTTCTCCGCTGTTTTATGGATGGTTAGTAGTGCTTGGTTTCAGATTGGACGTAAGTGTTACAATCAGAAGTCCTCAGGCCTCAATGTTCTCTAGAATAGATGCACTCTCTTTATGAATTTAATTTACTCAGGATATTTCTATATTAGATCTTTGCATTTGGTTTTCATTTCAGAAATGGTAAGCATGACCATAAAGTTATTGCATTTGTCTCTAGGTTTACTACAATGGCACACAAGACATGTTTGTGTATTAGGTATTTTAGAGTGAGATAATGGTTGATGACACATCTTGACTTCTTATTTTGAAGATTTTTGTAGCAGGCGGGTGTGTAGTGTTTTGATCCTTCAGGATGTTTGGTTGCATTGCTAACATGTGAACACCTAGTGATGTCCATTCAAGGCGCATGATAATATGATTTTATTTAGACACTTCTTTTTCCAGGTGGACAGGGGGTTGGAGGGTTGCATCCATTTAAAACATTGTTCAGTGCTCCAGATTTAGTAAAATGACCTAGATGCAGAATAAAATCTGCATTTTTGGATAATGAGTGGTACTATTATCTGGTTAATTAACAATCCTTCTATCTATGTCATTTACTGGCTATTATATAGATTGCTTGGAGTAGCATTCTTTCCTGAATCATTTTCTAGTACTGTGATTCAATAACAAGTCATGTAAAGTAAGCTGTTTTCAGATCTTTATTGCTTCTCTTCCCCTCCCCTCCCCCCCCCCCCCCCTTGAGGCCCGTTTAGTTGCAGTGGCATCTTTGAGTTAGTGGTTGTGCTCTGTTTGTGTACATAAATGCCAGTTGCAAAACTCAAGGCTGGCAATTCTGCACATGTAATGAAATCGGAGGAGCCAAATGATTCTTTGGACACTTTCATCAGGCAAGCTATTGGAAAAGAATCTTTCCTTTCCTTCTCAAGGGCTGGGGACAACCCAGTCCAATGGATTCAATTGCTCCATGCCTTAGATCAACAAGGTACTTTAAAATTATTTGATGGTTCAAATCATTGTATAGGAAAATACTATATTTAATGCTACATTATATCTTGATTTTCTTGCCTATATCTCTGACAGATATCCCTGGCTGGCCTTTACTCACTCCTCTGAAGGTGCAGATGCAAAAGTGTGATAAGTGTTCGCGAGAATTTTGTTCACCCATTAACTATAGAAGGCATATACGTGTGCACCATAGGTTGAAAAAACTTGATAAGGTTTTCTTACCGTCTTTGAAACATGATTATTCTATTAGGTTGATATTTTTAGAGAGTTTTTTCTGCAATTTCTTTTCCTTCTAATGCATTTTAAGATCCTAGCCACTTGGAAATTTTAGATTTTCTTAGCTACTTTTGGTTTTTTACATCTCTTAGGACTCCTCTAAGTGATGTTGTTTAACATATTGTAGGACTCTGCCAAAAATAGGGATCTATTAGCAGCATTTTGGGACAAGGTATTTATCTCTCCCTCTTTCCTCTCTTGCTTATTCGTTTAGGTTATCCTCCTTCTCTTTTCTTGTCATTCTCATTTATATTACTTACAGCTGTCAGAGGATGAGGCAAAGGAAGTCATATCATTCAAGGATGTGTCATTGGAGGTAATTGTTTTTTTTTTCTCACATACATCATTTAGTAACATTCAAGTGACACCTGGATCTGGTTTATATATTGTACTTGTTACTTTTGTGGTATTATCTTGTATCGAAATGGTTTTTTCTCACTAGGTTATACTTGCACATATTGCATGGATAATTGATTTTGTTTGTTCTTGTGTCCTTTTAAACAATTGCTTTCTTTCTAACCATACCTTCTAGGAAGTTCCTGGATCTTCAGTTATAAAATCATTGACAGCACTTTTAAAGAGACCAGGGTTTTCTGCTTTGCCACTAGTTTGTTTGAGGGCAGGTTCTGCTCTTCTGGTAAGGAACTTATTTTCTTGTTATTAGGTGTTGTGCTATAGATCTAAAAACATTCTAATACATTCTTATTCTATGGATTCTTATTCTATGGATGTCATATTGTCCTTATTTTTTGCAGGACCTCGTCCAAGCCAGACCTTCAAGGTTTCCGGTATCTTCACAAGAGTTATTTAGTATCCTTGATGATGCAAGTGAAAGGACTTTCCTTTTTGGTGTGGCTGTTTCAATTCAAAAATACATTTTTGATGGGGAAGCAGGAAAGATTGGTCTTGAAACCAAAAACTTGGTTGCTTGTACCAGCTTCTTGGTGGAACAGAAATTGGTACCTTTTTTCTTTTCTGTTCTTTCTAGGGTTGATTTACTTAAAGTTTTCATGAACACACTTATGAATAATTTGGTGGACAAGTATTATGCTAAATTACTAACCATTGGGACGAGAAGTAGGATAGCAGGATAGGTGTGCACATGAATTTGTCAACTTTTTATAATTTTCCCTTTATCATTTCATGATCAATAGAGTCTCTGCTTCATATTCAGGTTAAAGCATGGCTTGCAGATAAGGATGCTGAAGCTTTGAGATGCCAAAAGTTGCTAGTGGAAGAGGAAGAAGCTGCCCAGAAGAGGTGCATATCACTAATTCTCCATATCTAACAAAGTTATTTTTAAAATTGTCATATTTGACTTGTGCAAAAAGGTTGGACCATTTTCAAATCCTATCCTTGCCCTTTTTCTAAAAAAATTCCTCTCATTGTGTTAAAACTCGTGAACTAGCATAAGGAAAAGTAATTCTCTATGAATTGTCTTTGAGTAATGTCTAGGAGGAAAAGATCAGGAAAGAATCTTGAGTAATTTCTTCTTTTCCATGAGCTTTGGAGTAACAGCATGTGGTATAATTACGAATTTGCTTCCAAAAGATGTAAAGCAGAAAATCTTTCCTCCCTAACTGATATAGAAGAAAGAAAAGGAAGAAGATACTGTATAAAATTCTTGTGTATTTCTTGAAAAGTAATTAATCATTATAATTTGAAGGTTGAAAAGTGCTGGATGAAAAAATTAAAATTGTAGAAACCATTTTTCTATGTCAACAATCAACATCTTTGGGAAACAAGCATTGGAGAAGAAAAATGTTAGCATTTGTCATGCCAGTTCTAGTCTTCTAAAGTTCAGTCTTACCTTGGGCTTTTTAGTTCCTAAACTGACCATTTGGTAGGGTTTGGCAGTGTTAACAGGTAGGTCCTAACTCCCAAGTTTAGTTTTATTGTTAATGACTTGCGTGTCGTTCTTTAGAAACAGTTCTTCAACATCTTATAGAAGGCAATATTTCCTGATACTCCACTGTAGGCAAGTTGAGCTTCTTGAGAGAAAGAAGCAGAAAAAGCTTAGGCAGAAGGAGCAGAAAGCAAAGGAACAAAGACAATGGGAGGTGGAAGAAGATAAGCAGAACAATGATGATTCATTGGAGGTTAACATTCCTGCTGAAACATCCAGCACTTTAGCTGCTTTCGATTCTGATGGACAAAACCCAGTCATATCGACTTATCAAGTTCTCCCATCTGTAGAACCCATTCATATTTCCAAACCTGAGGAGGATGTAGATTACGAAATTCAGATGGGTTTTAGCAATGGATATTGTGATTCAGGAACCAGTCAGAATGTTGAAAGCCGAATGGAGCAAGTTGGTGGACATCAGCGTATTGTTGTTACTCGATGGCAGACTCCACCTAAATCACATAAAGGGGTGCTTAATGATTTCCATGCCAGTCAGAATTCCCATAGACTTAAGTTTGGAGGCATGAATAAACATGGAACAAAAAGGGAAAGGGTTGCTGCAATGGGTAATAGTAATAAAATGTGGAGCCGAAAATCTAAAGCAGTATATGATGGGAAGAGTTTGAGAATTAGAGAAGAGAAACAAACTACAAATCAACTGGATCAAAATAAGAACCATGAGGTTTTAATTGGCTCTATATCCGTCATGCTTGGAAATTGTAGCTATCTCGAGGTAAACAATCTAGCTGAAGCCTGTCACAGGTGCCTGGCGGAGTGTCAAATACCAAAGAAGAACAATGTTCAGGAGAAGTTCAGCCAACTTGATCCTGTTCAGGGTGTTACAAACCGATCAACCATTAAGTTTTGGAGGCCAGTGAGCCAACGTGAAGGACAAAGTTCACTGCCAGTCCAAAATGGTGTTAAAGAATTTGAAGTGGAAGTGATTGCTGAAAAGGATGGAGTCCAGACCTTTGATGAAAGCTGTCTAAGGTTATATGCAACAGATCGTAACGATGGTGTGGTAAGCACGAATCTTTCTTCAACACTTGAGGAAAGTGTACAACCAGGAAGCTTGCAGTTTGACAGCCATGTTGCCAAGGCCTTTCTTGCTCGGAGTAAGTTAGGATGTTTGATAAATATTTATCAACTCTATTGCTATGGGTCCATTTTTTAACTTGTCTCTCATAAACTCTGTGATCGGCTTTGTAGGGTGGAAGGAAGCTATTGCAGGCGGACATGTGACATTGGTTCTCTCCCCGAACCTGGAGCCGCCAGGGTGCTCAGAGGTTGAAAATGATTCGTCAGAAAAGTGGATGGATAAGGCGGGGGCTTTTGAGGCTTCTACTGGTGGGGCTGCCAAAGGCAAGTTCAGAACGATGCCTGAAAAGGTTGCAAAGATGTAATACATTACGAAACAAAGATCTGCCACCTAAGAGCCGGAGAGATATGGATGGGAATATTTAGTGTTGAGATATGCACAGTTTAGTGGATCATCATTAAATTCTTAGCCAGAGGTTCCAGTTTTACCAGTGGTCTTCTGTCGGAAAATTGAAGAAAAGTTTTGCCGGAAAACGTTTCTCATTCCGTCCGTTTTCCTTGACGTGATATAGCAGTTTGACTAGTCCTAAAATTTTTTCTGTTGTGTTAATCTTTTTTGGCTTAATTGTCTAAATTTTTTGCTGTAATAAATTGGGGTTCTGGCTATTTCAAAGGTCTTTTTTGGGGTCGAAGTGGAAGTTCATCTTTTGTTTTCTTTTACTTCCATCCTGTGCAAACATCTTAGTATGATTTTTTCCTCGTCTTCCTACAAAACGTATAACAGACAAGCGGAGTATGAGGAGAAACTTGTGATATGTCGAGCTTTTTAACATTTGGATCTTTGGGACTTTTTAATATTTTTGCATGACCTTTTTAAACTTGCCCGAACTTATTGGTTTGCCAAAAGCCCAATGGAGCTTTGGAATTGATCTTGAGACTTTTGTCCAGACCAATGATTCATGGACTCCAATTCTTGTTATTAATTCTCAGCAATGTTAATTCAGTTTGGAAACATATTAGTGTTATTAATAATTTTATTTAATCCTACGTAATCTACAGACTGTTTTTTTTTATAATCCTTTTTGAGAGGATAACTCTTTTAAATTATTCAAAGCACATATTTCTTTTTCCTTTTTGATAATTTTCAAAAATAATTTTGATTTTTATACTAAATTTTTTGTGTGCTTTTTTATTTATAATTTTAATCTGTTAGGTTAAAAAAATTCGATTGAAATTGGCAGTGACAATTCCTGGGAGAAGGCTGGTGTTTTGTTTGCCTCCCCAACATGCCATGCAGCAAGACACGTGCCACTGCAGTTGGAACTTAAACATAGTACGTTACACAAGGTAGAAACACCGAATCGCATCCAAAGGCGTTGAACCTGGCTCCCACATCTGACTATCGATCATCTGACCGCCAAGCCAAGATAACTTCCACACACCACAAAAGACACAATCCCTTCTCTCTTCCGGGCCACGGGTTTTTTTTTTTTTTTAATCTCTCCACCTTAAACTCCTCTCCAATCGCCATCTGCCCATCCTCATCACCTCAAGCTCAATCCTATTCAAAACTCCCTTCTGATAGGTTTTGACTTGCTGCTAGAGTTACACGTCTATTTCCCTCTTCCCTCCCCGTTTCTCCTAGGAACAATTCCAACCTAAAAACTTCTCAGGTTTCCTTTTCTCTCGTTCTATTCTGGACTGCAAATTTTGAGGAAATTTCAGTCTTTAATTTCCTTTCACTTTCTTTCGTTTCTAGAAACAAAAAAAATCCAATTCATAGACAAACTCGGAAAACGAAGAGAAAATGTCAGGAGGGGTTGGTCCAACCTGTAATGACATTAGCCTGCCAAATGATGAAGTACACCAAGAAAACTCCCACCCCAATCCTCGTAAACCCGTTCCAGATCCTGCCAATCCATCGAAGACCCGTTTTCTCACCCTTCGACAACTCAATTGTCTTGCTGTTATGATCATCACTGCTGCAAGTGGCATGGTGAGTCCTGAAGACTTCGCTTTTGTATTTTTTTCTGTCATCTACATGTACTTGCTTTTAAAAGTTGCCTTCCCTCGGAAAATTCCTCCCAAAGATTCTTTGGTTTTTGATCCAAGAAACAAGATTCTTCGCTTGTATGTCACCATCGGTGCTATCATTGGCCTCTATCTCCCTTTGGCTTACATCTTTGAAGGGATTCTTGAGGGTGATAAAGAAGGAATAAAGGCAGCAGCACCGCATGTTTTTCTTCTGGCTAGTCAAGTTTTCATGGAAGGAGTGGCCTTCTCAGACAGGTTTTCAATTCCAGTTCGTGTTTATATTCCGGTGTTTTACAATACGCGGAGGATTTTTACCCTCGTGGACTGGCTTAAGTCCGAGTTTTCAAAGGTGGATCACGAGTATGCAGGATCTGCCAAGAGACTGTACGTTGGAAGGGTCCTTGCTGTGGTTAATATGGCGTTTTGGTGCTTCAATCTATTTGGTTTCTTGTTGCCTGTTTATCTACCCAAAGCTTTTAAGATGTATTACTCTGAATTTAAGGTGAAAGATTGAACCGATCTTAGGTGCTTTCTTTCCTTACCCGTTTAGCCTTTACTCTTAAGCTTGGCACCCAAAGAAGGGAACAGAGATGAAAGGTTATACTTTCTTCCCTTCCCACTAGGTTAATGTGGTCTGGTTTGTGTAAATTTGATTTCATGATTGAGGTTTCAAACTTTTCTTTTTCTGTTTTTGCCTTTTATGTCTTTTTACCCCACCATTGTCTTCATAATCTGGCATAAGGATTTTCGTTTCCCCTCTTTCTTTCTTTCTTTCTTTCTCAAGAAGAGCTTTTCCGAAATTCAATTCAGGTTGCTATTCTATGGCCATAGTCGATTGGGACCGAGATTTGAAATCTCAGTAAATAAACTTTTAAAACGTCGCCAAGATGAAAAGGATAAGGTCAGCAATGACTGCAGCAAGACCTAAAAGTTAGAATCACTAAGAAAAGACCCTGATGCCAAGAAAATTTCATCACTTAAAAGCGTGAACTTACTTCCTCACAGGCCTACAGCTGAAATTCTATTTCTGCTTGATTAGAACTAGAAGTTACAAATAAGGAAAGGAGAGAGTTTCAAATCCTACATTTTGGATGTTGGATCTCAGAACTCTGTTACATCACAAAGCAATCTACAGCATTGATCTCAAATGAGGGAGCTGCAGGAACACTACATAAGAGCTCCATGCTACGAACAAAACACTAGCCACAATTCGAAGAAGAGGGTTGTGGTATTAACATTGTATTATTCTGCGATGGTAACAATGGGTGTAAGCCACAAACAAGGGAAACATAAAGAACAAGTTTCTCAAAATTTGAGACGTCTTTTCTGTTCTCGAAAAATAAATAAATAAATAAAAAGAATATCCAACATACATTCTAAAAAAAAAGACATTGGCGATGGTAAAACAAATAAATACACTCACCTGCAGACCATACAGAGCACAATGCTGAGAGTCTTACTGCAGCAAATTGGTGTTAGCATCATCTTTAAACCCAGTCAAACTGCTCTCCGTTCTTGAAAATAAGATATTTATCTTTGTTTATTACCTCCTGCCAAACCTGTTTATACATATCGACATCATACAACTCGTGCGTTAATCAGGCAATCTGGCATTTTAAGCCCCTCCCTATCCCAAGGTGTTCATGTCAAGAATGACGTATTTTAATAGAGAAAATTCTCTAGCATTTTAAACTTGTCGAACAGACAGAAATAGGGGCTAGCAGACATGATCCGTGTAGCAGACATCCAAAGAAGGATTGAGTTCCAAGCTTCGGAATCCCTTTTCTTACGCCTAATAACTAAAGACAGTATTTCAAATATTGGTACCCATCCCCTCACCAACCACCAATTCAGCAATTCCCATCTTATTCAATGTTGAGCCTAGACTTTGAAGAATGCCCAAACAAATGCAAATTAAGGTTAATCTACTGATGGGACCATCGCCATTAATTAGCATCAGTACAACTCGTCTTTCATGGCCTAATGATAAAATTTCTTGCATCCTTTCTGCATGGTCCTCCATCGCCCTAGAAGGAATAAATAAACAAATCAATACTTTGATAAACTAATAAACGGATACGAGTACAGAGATACAAAGGCCCACACAGAGGATGCTGATGTTTCCTGAACGAGCTACAATATTCAACCTAAAGCTCAGGAATAAATTAAGGTACAAAAATGTACTCTTTGAGCAACAGATGAGTGCACCTACTTTCAGTTCAATAAAATCTAAAAGTAACAAAAATATCCAACAAACCTTTCAAGTTCCTCCTTCATTGCAGGATCTATACCATCGCCAAACCATTTTAAAAAAGAAGAGAGAGAAAGAGCAAAGAAGAAACCACCATATTTCTTGCTTTGGGAATAAAACTGTAATTAAGACAGTAAATGTGTGTGTTGATTGAGATTATGATCACAGCCCACAGATGAGTGCAACTGCAGGCCTTGAATGCGTGTTTCATATCACGTACTTATGAATGTTCAAATGAGCCCATACAGAGAAGAAGGAACGAAGAATGCCAACCCTATTATAGTTTACATCAATACCTTTTCTTCTATTTTTTTGCACTCCCAACTCCCTTTGAGTCTGCAAAGCATAAAAATGTGGACAATGCACTAACAAATACCGTGCCTGAATTTTGGTAGATAAATCCCATAGTCAGAAAATAACAAAAGTTGGAAATTAAGCAATTGATTGGTTTAGGTCCCTAGACAATGATACATGTCCAAACAAAGGGATTTCTTATTTATTATCATTAAGGATTTATATTTGATGTATTATAAATGTATAAATTTTATATAATGTCAATGAGTAAGATGATATCATCTCATTAATTAAATGAATCAGATGATATCACTTTATTAATAAATAAATTTTTTAAAAATATTAATTTTTATATATTTATTTTAAGAACAAATATTTATTCATTAATAAAATAATATCATCTAATTTAATGATAATGTACAAAATATCGAACATAATCTCTAACATTAATTATTATCTAGTTAGACTGACATGAGCAGTCATCAATTCTCTATATCTTCAATTTATCGAACATAATCTCTAACATTAATTATTACCTAGTTAGACTGACATGAACAGTCATCAATTCTCTATATCTTCAATTTTTCTCTAGAACATGACATAGTTTCAGAATAAACCTTCAGAATCCCATTTCCAATCTACCGAGGATTTAAATTGGACAAAAAGCTATGGAATTGTTAATCTTTGGAAACATTTTTAATCAAATTTAGGTGGCTTGATTAATTAGAGAATTCAAGTTAAAAAAAATTCAAGAAACTAATACAAGTTGAAAGAGAGAATAAAGAGTGTACCTTTCAATGGAAGAGATTGAGATATGGAAGTGAAATGGAAGAATAAAGACAAAGCAGAACACTGTTTCTGTGTTGTGCTGTTCGGAGTTAGGAATTTGGTGAGCAGTTGACACGTGGCGTTCGTTATGGTTCGAACTTTGGATGGAAGGGTAGAGTTTCCCAACTTTGGATTATCTTTGGGCTTCCCTCCTTCCTCACCTGGATCAGAGGCTTTAGGCATTCTTTTCCTATGAAAGGTCGTGATTTCCCATTTTTCTTCAAATAAAAACCCACAATTTTATTTTTCTTTTTGTTGAGAAATTGAGCTCACTATTAATACAACTTTTTTAAAATTCTTTTATTAATCATTTCATAATCTTTATATTCATATTATAACTGATTATAGACATGCTAATTTAATTTTTGAGTTGATAAACTTTTTTAATATCATTTTACCAAATCTTTTTTTTATAATAACATATAAAGGCGTGAAAATAGAAAAACTTTAAATTGACGAAATAAACATGGCTGTTTATAATATTTTTAAACTTTCATTTTAAATAATTTATATATTATTATTATTAAGATTTATTCAATAGCAATGAAATTTTATCAAAACTTATTAAATTAGGCTAATCAACTTATCAAATTGCCAATATTGTAAACAATCTTTTCCGCCAACCTATTAAACTGGGTTAATCAACTTTATCAAATTATCAATATTATAGTGCTACTAGTTTCCACTTAATTTTGGCTAAATTTAAGTTTTTTACTTATTTATTCAAAAAAAATCATTTTTTTATTATTTTTTTTTGAGGAGTAATGTCATCATTATTTAAATAATCTAAAAGATATATCATTCTTTAGGATTATACCAATTTTCTATTAATCATTTCCGCTTAATTTTGGCTACGCTTCAATTTTTTATTTTTATATTATTTATTGTAGCTTTTTACTATTTGATCTTGATTCTTGAAAGTTCATTGTCCAATTATATTAATTTTTAAGGAATTTGGATCCATTAAATGGTTTAATGCAAATGGAACAATAATGGTATGCTAACATTTTGGGGATAATGTAATACATGCTGAGATAACAGCTGGTCAATACGCTGGAAAACAAATAGATTGAAGAATGAAAATCATTGATCTTCAATACATCTAGCTTTTGAATATTTTTGAAAAAAAATTAATTATGATTTGAAGTTCTTAAATGATAAAAAATACTTAATATTTTGATTATGTTCAGTAAATTTCTTTTGTAAGTTAGTTTTGATGATCTACATGCGATGAACTTTAGGTATAATAAACAAATTATAAATATTTGAAATCAAATCCAAAGTTAAATTAAATTATTTTTTTCACTACTAAAATATGAGTACACTTTATTATTGCCTTGTTTGCAAACAACTCATTTAGTAAAGAAATTAACATTAATAAGTTATCAAGAAAATTTTAAGCAAAATTTATTAAATATAAATTATTTAATAAATATAAAATAATTAACATGTAAGTGTAACACATAACGCATGCCATAAATGACTAGTTCAATAAGAAATGGGACAAGTTAGCTAATGTCAATTGACTATTGTAGCCAAAAAAAAAAAAGGCAATTTGCATTACTTAATAATGGCTAAATACTCAATTTAAAATTAAATATTTACATAATTACTCAATTCAGGATTAAATATTTTAATTTATATAAATAAAGATAAAACGTTATTAACTTGTAATAATGTAAGATTTTTTTCAACAAAAAATTTGTTGTGAAAAAATACGCACAGTAATAACGCATAAAAAGAATAAAAGCCAACTGATTTAATACTTTAATGCTGATTTGAATTTTTTTTTTAGTATTTAGTCAAAATATTATCAAATGAAAAGTTATTAACAAAAAAAAAAACCAAAAAATCCAAAAAAACCCAAACTCAGAGTAGATCTGCTCTATCTTGAATCACCCAGACAACATTTGGGTGTAGGGTTCGTTGTTAACCCTAAATATCTTTTCTATTTCAATCATTGATTATGTTTCAATCATTTAGTTCAATCGTAGATTTTGTTCAAAGACTTGCATTGTTCAATCGTTGATTTTGTTTTCAAATTTGGTGAGTTATTTGCAATCGTATTGAGCTCCGAAAAAGAGAAATTTTGAAGGTTAGTTTTCATTATTTTGTTAATAAATTTGTGTGAGGTGAATAATATTTAAGCATTTTTGGTTCTATTGTTTTTCAAAATTAGGCATTTGTGGCTTTGTGTTCTATTGTTCTTCATTGCTTGAATTTGTGTTAATTATTCATTTGAATATTATATATTCATTTTAATATGTTTAGGATAGATTAGTAGTATAATAAATTTATAGTAAATAAATTATATAGTGATAAAATTTAATTTTTTTGGTTTTGCTTATGAGTTTTGATTATTGTATTATACGATTTCAC